TATATATATATATATGTCTTAATATAGTAGTAATTCAGATTTAGTTTTCTTAGTACTACCCATGTGCTCTTAATAGCTTATGTAAGTCTAAATGAATCATTATGAGGAATTCTCCATCATTTCTTGTCATGTGCTACGTGCTACAGCTCTTACTAAGTTTTAGGCAGTGGGGCAGTTAGTACTCTGGTAGTTCTGTAAACGTTAGGGTACATGATACGTAATGCATCTTTTGTTTGTTTGTTTCCATAGAAGAAATAACAAGTATCTATAAACTTCACATCCCCTGGTCTTATGAAGATTCACTAACTATTGCACAGTAAGTATAAGAAAGAATTTATTTTAAACTTTGATGTTTTAGTAAAATAGATACTCTGCCTCGGTTGTGTGTTAGCTTTTTGTCACTGTGACCAGATACCCTAGAGAATCAACTTAGCAGAGGAAGGGTGTATTTGGCTCACAGTTTCTGAGGTCTCAGTCCCTGGTCTGCTGGCTCCACGGCTGTGCCATGGTGGCAGAGCCTGACAGAGGACAGTTGCTCGCCTCTTAGCAGCCAGGAAGCAGAGGGAGAGGGAAAGAACCAGAGAAAGGGCCAGGGATTGGGTGCGTCCTCCAAGGCCGTCCCCTGTAAGCAGCCCACACCTGCAGTGTGCTCCCCTCCCAGTACCACTGTCTGATCAGTCCCTTGGCAGACAGTCACCGATGATGCAGAGCCCTGTGCTGCGGCCACTTCAGAAGCCCGTCAGCAGCACACCATCACACAGGGAGCCTTTGAGGGACCTGCCCGTCCAGCGGCAGTACCTTTTTATGACGAGTTACAGTGCCTCTTGTAAAATGTAAATACCCGTTATGCAGCATTGTGCTCATAAGGTACGATGATAGGTAGTATTCTTACTACATTTCAGAGTGTAAACCTTACTTGCTTGAAGTGCAAACACCTTTCCACACCACTGCAACTCCTAAGTCCTAGAGAGGGAGCATCAGGCCATTGCCATGTGACCGGAAGTACCACCTGTGGGGAGGGGTCCACTGTGTGGCCTCCTCTGCAGTCGTCCACTGTGTGCTGCTGAGGGCTGCCTCCACCAGGCCTGTTGACCAGCATTTTGTATTTGAGAACTAATACTTAGCTCATCTCTTCAGGGTTCCATCCTCCACAGAAATTTCTCTGAAACTGCATATCGCACAGCCAGAAGATGACAACCACGTGGCATTACTAAAAATGTACACATCGTCACACTGTCGGTATGAGGTAAGTTGTATGTTGGCATAATCTTCAAGCAAGATTTACGAAATAAAGTAGAAGTATTTTTATATTAGCTGCAGATACATGGTGATGTCAAAGCCCCTAAGTGTCACAAAGAAACATTTAAAATATTTTAAATATTCTCCATTTGCCTGTATGCACTACCTCAGTATTTCCTTAGCTGGGTCATTTAAAATTGTATACATCTTAATAAGTAATAGAAAATAAAACAAAGATTGAAACTGCACGTTATCTGTCTAAATTTGGAAGCCAAAGGCCCAAAATCTTTTACAAATTAAAGAACTTACTGAAATGAAATCAGCTGACTGAAATCACTGACAGTGACTGGCCTGGTGCTTACTGGTTTATGTCTCCACTGAGTTAGCATAAGGATCTTGTCTTCTTTCCACTCATCCTTTAAGCTGTTAGTCATTAATGTGTGCAATTTAGTGCCCATTGTATTGTTTTACAATCAGAGTAGAGGGCCAGGCATTTAGCTCAGTGATTCCACTGCCTGCCTCGCAAGCACAAGGTCCCAAGATCAATCCCTGGTACCAAAGCATAAAATCAGAGTAGATCTCTTTCTCCTAAATGAAGGGACATAAGATTGAGGTTCATGTTTTGTTGACTCTTGGATTCATGAACTGAGTCTCGACCTGTGTTAGAACACGCCAGGTTCCACAATCCCAGATCTGAGAGGTTAAAGTGCACGTTTCATTGGGAGTGAATCTCAGACTTCTGGTCTACGTGGAATATTCCTGCTCGGCTGCTTTAAATCAACCTTAATATTTAAATTCTTTATTGGAACTGGCTTTCGTAGGGTAAACTAGGATTGGTATTGTCAAGTTAATAGATTGTTTCTTCAAGTTTTTGTTGGACCTACATTAGGAATTAATTTCTATTTCATGGTATTTATGAGTGCTTTGATATAGTTGTTTCCAAAGTGAAGGGTTTAGCACAGTTACAATGTTTTTTAACTTACACCTTCATAGTTCTAATATTAAGTAATAGTAAGAATTATGTTGTCAATTTGTACCAAACATTGTATGTTTTCAAAGCATCCATGTTTTTTTGTAACCAACATTGCATATTTTCAAGAAGACTGTGTTTGGTTAGAGCATAGGCATTTTACAACTTCCTTAAAAAAGATTTATCTCCTTTTCTTGGACTTCCTAATATTAAAAAACAAAGGTTTAGGGCTGGGGATTTAGCTCATTGGCACTGCCTGCCTCGCAAGCACAAGGTCCTGAGTTCAATCCCCATCACCAAAAAAATAAAAAAGGTGTATGTATGGTAGAGATAATTAGGGATGCTTTTCTTTTTGAAATATTATTCTGGCCTACATTCTGTTAACCACCATGATCTGTTAATACAATATTCTGCTTACATGATCAAGTTAGTAAAGAGTTACCACACATACCATAATGTTCCTCTGCTTGTTGAAGAATTACCACACTGGGAAACATACTAAATGGTAAAACTGTATTTACACAGTTTAAAAGGTAGTTGAGATGGTTCTTTAAGATCTTTTATGTTGTAAGGTCTATCATTATAAAGTATACTTAGAGATGTGCAGAATTAGGCAACTTAGTAAAATATGAAGCGGAATGTAAGGAAAATAACCTCTTTCTTTTTAATAATTACTTCAAACCAGGTGACAGTTAAGACCTCGTTCTCGCAGATTCTCGGACAGGTAAGCAGTCCCTGGCTACCGTTCACGGCCTGTGAACATCCGTTGTGAGGGGCTGCGGCCCTATCCTGTGCACTGCTAAAGCAGAGACACATCCAGCTCTGGCTGCTGCCATGCCTGCAGCTGCTGCTTTCTTCTTTTTCTCACTCTTCCTCCACTTTAATAAAATCTGAAAACCATCCTTTTTCATGTCTGGTACATCACAGAATCAAGAGCCGATACCTGGTTCTCAGCCAATGTAACGTTTGCCTGAGCAAATGCCACAGAAGACATTCCTGTTTATCGGACTACACTGTTGCTCATAGTGCAGCAAACCCACAGGCAGACCATACAAGCGAGGATTTTTAAGGAGCTTTATATTGTGCATCTCAGTGTGTAAAAGCTAAAAATAGATTTTATTAGCGATATATTGAAATTCATTGACAAGTGATACAAAATAATTTATCCAACAGTGAAACGATGGATATTATTATTCAGTCATTCATAACTTGAAGAACTGTATAATCTAGACTTAAATAATGACTAGAAAGGAAAATTCTATAATTTTAAAATTCAGTAAAATTTTTATCATAGCTTTTATTTGATTGGATGATATTTTTCAGTCCAGGCATAGAATTTTTATATGCATTATCTCATTTGATCCTTATAGCCACCTGATGAGAACTAGATTCTGATTATTTGTGAACATGCCAAAATTCTGAGTTAAAGTATAACAATTCTAAAAGGAATAACAAATTATGAAAGGAAGATTAAATGTTAGCACACATAAGTTAGAAAGCATCATCATGGATGTTGCAATTTAAAATGCTAAAGGCTAATCATTAAGAAAAATTATCTTTTACAGAGGGGAACAATTCATGCTCTTCCAAAAGGTATGCTCCTGCACACAGGGGTTCGGGGTGAACACCCAGCGTGCCCTATGACCCATGTTGTCTCTGCAACTCGTGACTCAGATTAGTGACAAGAAAAGTTAGCTTGGGATGCTGTAGTCAAGGGTAATTATACAGCACGAGAAAGCAGACTAATACTGGTTTGGGAGGAGTTGATTTTTTGTTGTTGTTTTTCTCTTTTCGAGACAGGGTCCCATGATATAGTTCAAGCTGGCCTTGAACTCCGTATGTAGCCCAGGCTGTCGTCGTGTGCTCACAGGGATCCTTCTGCCTCAGCCTCCTGAATGCTAAGATTATACGCATGTGCTGCCACCCTCTACAGACTAATATTGTTTAGATGTGGAAATCTTTCTAAAAGAGTAAAGATGTGCTGGTCTCACAGGGCAAGGGATGGGTGCTTTTAAAAAGGTCAGATAAAAAAGTTAAAATTAAGTCCTAAAATTGTTGCAAAATATATCATCTTCCTCTTGCTTAGCTTGTGGATGGCATGAGAATGAACTCAAATAGTATAATCTACCTTATTCAGGCTTTTGAAAAATAAGTACTTTGCATGTTGTTGATGTTATCACCAAAAACTGGCAAAGCTGGATAAAAAGGAAACCACTGAGAGAGCCTTTAACTTTTAGATAGATATTTTTCATAAAGTTAATGTTTTCTTCTGAAAAAGGGAAGAGGAAAATATTCTTTGGTCTCCTGTTGTGGAAGAGTGTGAGCGGTCTGTCACTAGCGGCAGTGAGTCTGGATTGACCTTTGCCCTTGCGCTCAACTCCTCCTCCTACATAGAGCTAATAAACTATAAACTATGAGTGGAGACTGTAAATTTTTTTTCTAATCTTTTTCAACCTGGGGGTCCATGGGGGGACTTTCTGGAATCCTGTGCAGTGTTTTGGGTTAGTTTATACTTTGCACATTTCATCAGATTAACAAGGGAGTCGGTACATGTTCTGAGAAATTCTCTGGAGAGCTGGATGAGGTGGCGCATACCTGTGATCCCAGCACTCAGGAGGCTGAGGCCAGCCTGGATTACAGAGCAAGACCCCAACTCAAAAAACAAAAACAATAAATTCCGTGGAATGGACAGCATGCTTTCAAGTAAATACTTTTTAAAGTTAACATTTAAAAAGGAACTAAACACTTTTTATTATGCCTATGCTTATACAAATTGGGTGAGCTGATAAGAGTGATCCACCGAAACTACGTAGGCTCTGAATTTAATTCCAGTGTGACTCACTTCCATGAGAGGGGAAGACACGAAGATTAATAGTTGCAGCCAACAGTTTCCGGTAGCTCATCGTGTGGGAGATGACATTCTAGGCGCTTCGCACATGCGGTGTCCAATCATCATAATCACCCGCAGACACCGCTCTCCCCTTTGTCCGGAAAAGCACATGGAGAGCCAGGGAGGGGACTGGCCTGCTGCCTCTGTGATTGTGCAGGGTGTTCGGGCGTCTGCACTTGATTTCTTCCCCTGTACGTGGGAATGAGAGCTGCCCCGAGTGCTGGTGAGGAAAGCATGCAGTAATGCATACAGGATGCTTAGTACCAAGCCTGGGACGAGAGGTGGTCAAAAAGCAGACTTTGGAGAGCAGTCTTCTCGTATGTGCTCCTCAGCTAGGCCTTTGATGAAAAACGCAGGTGTGCTTATACCCAGCTATGCAAGGGTTTTGGATGCTCATTACTGGAAATGTCTTTGCAGCCACATTAGGAAAAGTGAAGTGAGGAGTAAACGTTCTTACTTCGTGTGGAAGTACATTTGTTCCTTTAACGCGAGTTTTCAGAAGTTTTCCACTCTCCGCCTGCTTCCAGGTAGTGAGACTTCATGGCGGTGCTCTTCCTGCTTACGTCATGTCCAACGTCCTTCTCGCTCACGGAGGACAGCTGTACTCTCTCTTCTCCACAGGTAAGGGTGCTTCATTCTTCAAGGTGTTTTTGTTACAAGTGCTACAGTAGAACAGCTATCGGTTCCTTGTGTGCATTTAATTCACTGATTAAAAGTCATAGACAGTTTTTAGAAACAGCCACACAGCAGCAGTTCCTTGCAGTTAGTTCCTGGAGGCTCCAAAAGCACGTGGTTTTACGACCTGTCTTCCATGATGCTTTCAGCTTTTCTGCTGTCAACCGCCCATCCCAGACTGGTTATATCAGCTAAGTGGAGAACTCTCCAGGGTGTGGGCCTGCAGGAGACTTCAGATGACCAGCATTCTCCTAGTTTGTCACTTGTGATTGGGTGTCACGTTTTACTGGGGGAAAAAACTTTATTTTTAGTCCAAATTGTTCATTTTTTAAAATACATATAGGAATCAAATGTAATCTTCACATAATAATTATTTTCAGTACTTATGTCTTAAAGGACAAAAATCACCATACATATTTAAAAATGAATAATCTCCTAGTATTACTAAATTATTAAAGTTTCTCCCAAACAAGATCTACACATTGCGGCTTGTCGTTAAGTTTAGTCATCAAGTTTCCTAAGCTATAGTTTCTATCCTCTCTTTTTTCCTCCTTTATAAACTGTTCTGTGTGATCATATTTTATAGTTTTGATTTTGCTGATTATACCCCCGTGGTGTAATTAGGCTTTTAAAGAATATAAATTAGTGGACCAGGGATCTAGCTCAGTGGTTCCAGTGCCTGCCTTGCAAGCGCAAGGGCCTGAGTGCAATCCCCTGTGTCAAAAAACAAAAACGAAAACAAAAAAATATATAAATTAGTGTAAGTTTGCAGCTCGTAATAGCGGTGTTTGTTTGGGGGAATCATACATGCAGATGACATGCATTGGTCATTCTCACTCCTCACTCCCCTCCGCGGACGTCTTTTATCTTCTGTTTGTACAAATTGGTAGTTAGGGTTACAGGCTCGTAGGGTTCAGATTCTCTTCGTACAGCCCGCCCCCTGCTTCCTCCTCCTGCTGCTGCGGCTGCAGGACCCTCAGCGGTAAACGTCTTTCTGTTAGTAGGCACCGCTCCCCAGTTTCCTCCCTTGTCATCCTAATCTGTTCCCTTGTCCTCCATCTTCTCTCTCCTTCCTTTCCTTCTCTCTTCCTTCTCCTCCCTCCTGTCTTCTTCCCTCCCTTCTGTCTTTTCTTCATTTCAGTGGGTCAGGGCCTCCTGAGTATTTCCCGTCTTACATGTAGCTAGTGAAGACAAACTGTAGAGTCGGGCTTTAAATGGATGAATTGTATGGCTTGAAAATCATGTCCCAGATAAAGCTGTTTTTAAAGGCTCCCTGTAGAGATTTGTGAGAATCCGTGGTGAAGCACTAGCTTTGACTTACTGAATTTGTTTCTGAACGTACGTACACTCTTCTCCAAGAATCATTGAGTTCACAGTAATGTTTAATCTTGGGAAAGAGTCTCTGTGGTAGTAGTGAGGACCCTTTGCTTTCTCTGACGTAAAACAAGATATAGTTCATACTTAATTACTGTGAATTCTCTGTTGCATGTAACTTTTTTTAATTACCAGGTTATTGTTTAGAATATGCTGCCGTATTGGATAAAGAAGCCAAGCCATACAAAGTTGACCCTTTTGTAATTATGATTAAGTTTTTATTGGGGTAAGTTTTATTTTATTATCTGATGATGATTTTAATGTTGTTCCATATATGAAACATTGCTTGATTCCATTTGCATATAAATTGGCAATTGACTTGCTTCACGAAATGGGATTTTTCTTCTAGGAAAAGACTTAATAATATATCAACATTTATTTCAATAATATAATCATTGTAAGGTGATGACTGAACATCTGCATCCATGTAAACTTGGTCTGTACATGTAACAGCGCTATAATGTTCACAGATGATCCGAAGGCATCCCAAATAGACAAGAACTATCACAGGGTCAGACGGAACAGCGCCTCCAGTCGCCTTCTCTTCCTTCCCGTAGACAGTGTATTTTAAACTTCTCTGCCTCAGTGTTGGCCCTGGTGCTTCCATTCTTAATTCATTCAAGCTTTGTACTTTTTTATTAAGAACCATTCTGAAATCTCTTTTGTTCTTTCATTACAACTAGCAGTTGGCTTTCCAACATTAAAAAATGTGTTACTTTGTACAGGGACCAACAGGGAACAGTAAGCTGTGTTGAGACTTAGGATTTAAATACTTGAAGATCGGTAGGCTTACTCGGCAGATAAATGAATTATTTCATTTAAGATTTGTTTTCCAGTATAAATTTTAAATTAAATGTCATGGACCTGTGAGGACTGTAGTGAATGGTCAGACCCTCAAATATGAGATCGTTGGGCGTCAGCTTGTTGGGTTTCATGTTTGCTGTTTTTGTTTGCTTTCATTTTGCTTCCTTTTGCCCACAGGTATAAGTGGTTTAAGGAATTGTGGGACTTACTGTTGTTGCCTGAATTAGATGCCATCGTTTTAACAAGTCAGAGCATGTGTTTCCCCGCTATATCCTTGCTTTTCTTTCTGTTTGGAACATGTACTGCCAACTGGAGTGGCCTGCTCTCCTGCGCATCTGTGAGACTACTTTCTTCCTTGTGGCTAGCTTTAAAAAGGTAAAGTAAATGACAGAAGGCTTTCTTATGGCTCTTAATTAAGAAAGATTTACTTCTTAATATTGTTTTCCAAGGATGTAGGACTAGCAAAATTGATAGTTATATCTTTGTCAAAACTAATCATTTAGAGTGGGATAAAATGTACTTTAAGTCGTTTATTGAAAATTAAATGCCATTTGTGGTTTTGACCTTAGTATCCAAGAGTTCATCAAAAAAGCCTGACACATTTCATGGTTGCACATCTTTCTGGGGGACTTTTACTCCGCGGAATGCTTTTATGGGCTGACTTCTCTAATGAAGCCTGAGGGCGAAAGATGCCAGTCTGCGTTCCGCATCTGGTCAGAGGAGTGGACCTTGCCTGGAGTTGTACTGAGCACCTGAGACGCTGCATGTGTGAAGTTGCTAGTCAGCTTTTCTAGAAGGGCACTGGTCTGGTTTCCCCACACTCCTCCGTACCAGTTGCGGTGTATGATTATCTCATGCAGGGGTAACCTTGGGCGTGTCCGCTCCGGCTCTGAGCTGCTTCTGATGGGTTTCTGGCAGTAACACTGCCAAGCGTCTCAGTGTCTCAGGGCTTTAAAAACTTGAAAATTCTGGCTGAGCACAGTGGCGCACGCCTGTGCTCCCAGCATTTGGCAGGCCAAGGCAGGAGGATCGCCATGAGTTCAAGGCCAGCCTGAACTACATAGTGAGACCCTGGCTCAAAAACAAAACAAAAAGGAAAATTCTTTTTCCTGTCAAGATTGCAGATGTATGGCACAGGGTCTAAGATTAATGGTATCCTTTGGCAACAGTATTCTTCCTTACTGCCAGTATCAGCCACGGTGCATCTAAAAGAAGAGGAGTTCTTACAGTGCATTTCAGTCCTTAAAATCGCTGCATGTGACCATTTTCCTCTGCTGAAAAACACCGCGCTGTTCCCTTAGGGTCTTACATACTAATAAGCAAGAGGGGCCGGCAGGGCATTTCACATTCAGTAGCTCTTACCTGAAGCGCTCAGGACCACAGGTGTTCGAGATTCCTGGTGTCTTAGAATTTGGGACGTAGGCACATGCCTAGTGTATGGTCCTATACAGATGCACAAGTCTGTTAAAATTCATATCTTGCTCAGCTATATCTGCTCACCCTTGTTCACAGCGGCACAGTCAGTTATAGCTAAAGTTTGGAAACAGCCCAGTTGCCCATCAACTGGAGACTGGATAAAGAGGATGTGTTTTTTTAATAACATGGAGCACTACTCAGCCATAAAGAACAAGAAACTATAGACATTTATAGCTAAATGGATGCACAGTGAGGCCACACTGTTAAGTGAAATGAATAGGACACAGGTGTGTAAAGATGTGTGTCTCTGGTGTGAGAAACTGAAAGTGTAAATAAGGATAAAAATGCATAATGAATAATGTGAAATAGAAAAGGTCTAATGGAGTAGGGAAGTGGGAGGGGTAGGGAAAAGGAAAGAAGGGAAAAGAAAAAATATGAGAAAAGGAAAAAATAGAAACAATGTCTTTGAATTGGGAGGGGTGGAGGGGGTGAAGGGAGGGCAGGGGAATGGGGGAAAAATAACCAAGATGCGTCATGTAAAGGTACAGCATCCCAATGATGAATATAACTGTATGTATACCTAAAATGGACCAATAAACTTAGTGAAAAAAAGATTCATGTCTCGGATGGGAACCAAATCCAAGCGCAGAATTCACTTCTGTTCCCTGTACCTCGTTCACACGCCCTCAGTAGTTTCAGTGTATCTGCGTTTTGACTGTGACCCATACACGCAGTAGAGTGCACAATTTTCCACTTGTGGCATTTTGTGGATGCTTTAAAAGCTGTGAATTCTCAAATAACTTCGACTTTGGGTTTTTGTCTAAAGGATGTTCAGCCTATACATTGGCGTTGTCTCACGTGGACTGTATAAATATCTGTTAACTGTATTTTTTTTTGAAGCTGTGTTCTTTTTATTCCAGACCCTCTGAACTTCCTAAAGACGTCAAGATCCTGTCACCAGAGGTGCCCTTCCTGACGGTCGCTCTGCTGGTCGTGAGCTGGACCACCTGTGGCGCATTTGCCATCCTGCTTTCCTTTGTCTGCTACACGTACAAGGTACGGAGTGATGTCAGAGCCGGGGCGGAGCGCGGATGCCGCGGCTTTGTCGTGTAGCAGGTGTAACAGTTTTTGGTTATTTAAATTATGTAGTTAACACAGAACTGAAACTAATGACTTGAGTTTCTGTTTTGTTTTTCTTTCTTTTTTTTTTTTTTTTTTCTTGGTACCAGGGATTGAACTCAGGCTTTTGCACTTGAGAGGCAGCAGGTGGAACCACTGAGCCAATTCCCCCGCCCTTCAGTTTTGTTTTGTTTTGTTCTAATTCTAATTTGTTATAGGTTGCATCGCACTCTTGCAAATATTAGCTTTTTTAACATGTTATTAGAATAGTTTCATTCCTACTTTGTGAACATGGGTGAGTGAAAACAAAACAATTATGTCGGGATCAAGTTATCAGTCATACTCAGATAACATAAAATATTAATAAATTTCATTGTCAGAAGACAATGATAAAAATTATTAGGCTGTTAATTTTACTGCAGTAAAAGATGCTTCCAGTAAGGCTGGCAGCTTTGCAGGAAAATCCAGGCAGTTACACAGCTGCAGACTCTGCAGTCATCTGTGGGCAGGCAGCGGCATCACAGTGGATAGTTAGGCTTTCTTTTTAAACAGGGATGCATTTGCCTCTGCTTCTGACAGCTGTACATGCATCAGAAATTATTCTCAGTTTTCCAAAGAAAACTTATGTACATCTAAAAATTCTGTTCAGAGCTACTTCAACTTATAAGCATAATATTTTTAGTTTTTATTAGTCACACAGCTGACCAATAAGCAAGTCAGGTACTTAAGGAAACCTAGTAAATTAAATTTGCACGTTGCCTCAAGTCCTTGTACATGTGCCACTGTATAAAATTTTGTTTACTTTTATTAAGTATAATCAGGCCAGGCGTGGTGGTTCACGCCTGTAATCCCAGGACTCCGGAGGCTGAGGCAGGAGGATTGCTGTGAGTTCAAGACCAGCCTGGGCTACATAGTGAGTTCCAGGTCAGTCTCAACTACATAGTGTGAGACCCTGTCTCAAAAAAACAAAAATAAGTATAATCAAATGTCTGACCAACAAGACACGTAAAATTGCTCTAGGAAGGTGTCAAACACAGGTTCCCGGTAGTGTGCAAAAGGGACAGCATTTGTCTTCCTCCCTATATACTGCGGGAGTATTTCTATGTCTTTCCTATTTTGTTTTTGTATTTTTAATGTATGATAGTAAGCATGTGTTTTTTGTCTTTCCTAAAAGAAGGCTTTAAATGTTTAAATGAATTTTAGTTGCTTAGATTTTTTTTAGATTTCAGATTATATTTCTTCTCCATTTTAATAAAAAGGCCTATCTATTTTGTTTCAAAGTACAAGTAAAATTAAAGTCATTTCTTTTTTTAGGTTGTTCATCTACAAGCAAGCCTAACACATTTTAAAAGTAGCCAGTCTGTGGTAAGTTTTATTTTCAAATTCTATATAACTAATGTGAAATGACATGAGAAAATATGAGAGTTGACTTTATAGAATGGTTAGGATTTTTAATGTTTAAAAAATATTATGAATTTAAACAGGGTGTGGCAGGAGGATCACCATGAGTTCAAGGCCAGCCTGGGCTACATAGTGAGACTCTTACCTCAAAAAAAAAAGCCAGAGATATACACACCTGTCTTGCAAGCCCAAGCTCCTGAGTTCGGTCCACATACCCGCCCCCGCAAAAGGATGTTAGGAACTTAAGTAACTGTAGGAAAGTGAATTTAAGCCTATTAAAATAGACAAATCATTCTGAATTGAGTAAGGTCTCTCTCACTACCTGTGTCTTTTTATTAGTTATAAATTGTTATCTTTTAAATTTTACTTTAAGCAATTACTTAGAGGATGTTTTCACAGCACTAAAAATGAGAAGTCAAAAGAGTTTTGCCGGGGATGTAGCGCAGTGGCACCGCCCCTGCCTCACAAGCACAAGGTCCAGAGTTCGATCCCTGGTACCAAATAAAAAGGATAAAGTTTTGTAACTAACCATTTTAAAGGATACAGAAAAGATAATTTCAGTATTTGATCTCAGTGTGGTGATGGAAAAAATATATTTAGCTCGAAGTCATTGAATATAGTTCTAAAAAAGATAATACTTTGCTGAGTTCGATCCCCGGTACCACAAATAGTAATACTAACACCTTAAGTTTACTGTTTGATCACGTAGTATTGGGTGTTTTTACTTGTTGCCTTATAGAATACCAAACACTCAAGAAGAAGTGAAAAAAAACCCAACCTCGGTGCAGACTCTGCGGCGCCCCTGCCTCGGGTGTCGGCGGCAGACGCGGAGGACAGTCTGCGCATGCACACTGCGCTGCTCACCCTGCTGGGCTGGGTCGTCCTGCTCAGCACGCCGTCGCTGGTTTACTGGTTGAAGAACCTCCGGTGTGTTGTATTTTATGGACTAATTTACGTGCTTCAGCGCATAGAGCCTTCCTGATTCCCAGTAGCAACCGCACAGGAGGAGGAAGGGCCTTATCACCTGAGGTGTAGCCCAGGGCACTCACATTCTCCCTCACCGTGGCTTACAGCCTTCCCCAAAAGCGGCCCAAAGGAGTGCTCTGTATTTTTATTGTTGGTATATTGCTAAATATAAGGCCACCTCATCCAAGTAGTAGTCCAACCCTACTCATAAAAAAAGATGCAAAGGTTCTAGACTATCTAAATGTTGAGAGCATTTTAAGTCAGTAGAAGCAAATTAAATTTAGTACATTAAATAAAGGTTTACCAGACATTGTTCGTCCCTTTCGTCAAGACCCATATGGCTTGTTCACAGCCGATTATTGGAGAAAGGTGGGGTTCTCAAGAGCTGTGAGACACCATCTTACCCAAAATGATCAACTTGGAGTCTGCGTGCGTCACAAGCACAGGGTCCTGATTTCGAGCCCTGGAACCAGACATAATGATCAACTTCGCTTTGTTGACTTGTGTTTGTTTTTCTTTTATGATAGGTATTATTTTAAACTTAATCCTGATCCATGTAAACCTTTGGCATTTATACTTATTCCAACCATGGCAGTTCTCGGAAATACTTATACGGTTTCAATAAAATCAAGGTATAATAGTTTAATCTTTCTTCTTTTCCCATCTGTTCCTGGCCTGTATCACCCTGTATTTTATTTCTGGAGTATGCTATTTATTTGTAGTAAATTTAAGTATTCCTGAAAATAAAGCCTGGTATGGCTTAATACAAAGGTACAGTTTATATATGATTATGCTGTATTTGTTTTCTTAACTATAAGTTTTACTTGTTAGGATGTAATAATATGCAGTTTTTTACTTTAAAAACTATGATGCATAAGATATACTTTCAAAAAACTACAGGAGGTGGGCCGGGGATTTAGCTCAGTGGTTCTGCTGCCTGCTTTGCAAGCACAAGGTCTTGAGTTCGATCCCCGGTACCACACACACAAAAAAAAACTACAGGAGGTTAGGCATGGTGGCGCATGCCTGCAATCCCAGCACTCAGGAAGCTGAGGCAGGAGGATCACCAAAAGGTCAAGGCCAGCCTGGACTATGTAGTGAGTTCAAGGCCTGCTTACACTACATAGTGAGACCTTGTCTCAAAAAACAAAACAAATATAAACAAAAAAATAAAAAACAACTTCAGGAGTGGAAGTACATGGAAATACAGATACAGGTGAAGTAAGAATGGCCAGGATTTGATTGTTTGAACTGGGTGCATGAGGGTTCCTAACCCACTCTGCTGTTACTCATGTGTAAAATTCTCCACAGTAAGACTTGAGTTCTCTGGAGCTGGTTCTGAGAGCCCCTTCAGTTGGTTCTAGGAGATACTGAGCAGATCTGGGGCTTCAGTCTTTGCTGCGTCATAGCTGTGTCCTTAGGCTGGCTTCTGAACCCTTCTTATCCTCCGTTTCTTGTTTTGAAGAAAAAGACCACAGCCCTTTCTGAGAGTTTTCTTTTAAAAATATCGTCTTGACTTGCATGTTTTTTTTCTTGGGATTTAAACATGGTTCCTCTTTGGTTGTTGCTGTTATAAACAGGATTGACATTTCTTTAACTATCTCAGTGAGCATGAGTACTTTTGTTAGCATACATTTTTAGAGATAGAATTGCAGAATGAACATTTGAGTATTTTTCCATTGTTAAAGTTCGAAAAAATAAAATTGGCTATTTTCTGAATAGAAATAGTTTTCCATTTTGTTACTGTTTTTGTTTTTGGATTTTTAGTCAAAGCATGGTTTGTATTGATCTTTCAAAGACATTCAGGACAGGTAAATTCATTATATAAAAAAATTATTTCCGTTAAAGTCACTTAGAATGTTTACCTCTCCCAGCCATGTACAACGTAGACATAGCCCGTTTCGCTCCCGCTGCCGCTTACGTACTGTGTGTTTCCTCTTCTCTTCCCAGTAAGCTGCTGAAGACTGCCTCCCAGTTGGCGCCCCCCCTGGCTGTCGGCGTGATCGCCTTCGGGTCAACACACTTGTACAGGATCCCGGCCTTCGCCTTCATTCCTGTTGTGCTCCACGCCTTGTGCAACGTGATGTGAGAGGGACGCCTGAGGGCTGGGCACGGCGGACACAGGCTCCCCGCGTGGACGGCCACGTCTATTGTTACAATGTTGAGAGCGGGATTTAGTTTTGTACTGCCTGAGGAGAGGGGGTGAGGCATGGTTTTGCTCTGGGGGGCATCCGCGTGCGCCATCTGGGCCCGGTGGAGGGGAGGCAGCCTGGTGCCCGAGGACATCTGTGCACCCGCGTGCCGGACACTCAGCAGGCACCGGGCCGCTGTCACCTCCCATCCAGCGTTCACCTGTTTTGTCACCTTCTGAAAAGTGACTTGTTTTCTATTTGCTGTCGTTTACATACTATAAGATGGATTTTCAGAGGGTGATGAAACTCACAACTATTTGCTTTCTCAGAAGTGAAACAGCCACAGAGTCTTTGGTCTCTTTGGCCATTATGATGAACAAAGTGGGCTTCTGCCTTGTACGTACATGAGAGCTTTGAATTACAAGAAGACGTGTTTTTGATAAGCACTGTAAGCTCAGTGAGTGGAAACATGATTCACATTCAGAATAGGGAAGTTTTCTTGTTATTCTCAAATATGAATTGTGTCTGTTAAATTTAAAGACTATTCTCCCAGGTATTACTGTCGTTAGAGTAGTTCATTTTTGTTGATTCAATTCATTGTCCCAATGATTGCTGAAATTTCTTCAGGTGAGGCTAGATTGCTAACTAAATTTCAATAATTGGCAGAAACTAAGTTTGCACCTTTCTGTCTACTGTGGAAAAAACATGACCAAGAGTAGCTTCAGCTTCATATCCGGTGCATAAATGTAAACTCCTGGGGAACAGTAAGTGCAGCATAAATATAAAGGCACATCTGCGGAAACGGGGGACTGTAGCCACAGGATTTAACGGTGAAGGCTTGAGGGTCCGTAAAGGAGGGAATAACATTTCCACGTAATTTCAGATTTCACTTCCTGCTCAGCTAGAAAACAGCACAGAGTTAAGGGAGCAGGGCGGAAGAATGTACGCACTCTGCCTTAAGAGAGTGAATTCAGCCTGAGGAGCGCCTGGCTCTTCGAGCTCCTTTGAGGTATGGGTACTTTCGTGTCCAAAACCTCTCACGGAATGTCCTCCAGTGAGCTGTGTCCCTTGTGGCACTGGGGATTGGGGATGTCCCAGAGCAGTGATGGCGAACCTTTCAGGGCTCTTGATAACACAAACAGCCGGCTGTGGCACAGGTGCCATAGGTTCGCCATCGCTGTCCTAGAGGATCAGTCCCTTCTGTCTGCTGAGCCTCTGGGTCCAGAGCTCTGTCTGGCAGTTGCTGCCTTGAGGTTCCTCCCACTCCCCTGCCTGTGGCTTTGCACCTTGTTCCCTCCTAGTTTCCCCACCACCACTATGCTGTTTTGCCACTAGTCACAGAGGGTCTCGCTGGTCTACACGAATGTATTCTGGCATCGTGCTTATTGTTCAGGGTGTGTACTGTTGCTTCCCGAGACCCTTGAAGGGCGATAACCTGATGGTGGCAGGGACAGGCTCAGCAGGCTGGTGTCCACTGGAGAGCAGGAGTAAAGGGAATGAGCTTCACAGTGCTTATGTGTTCAGCATCCAAGAGGAAGAAGAGTTTATTAGATCTCACACTTGCCATGGACACTGGGTGTGCATTTAAAGAGGGACACATCTGCCTGAAGTTGGCAGTACACACAAAACAGCTTCTACACGTGGGGCATCTTTTGTTTTGCCTCTGGTACTCTGTACCCCAAGTGTAGGTTAAACGTGTTGTTTAACTCTTTCTGAATTTGAACTTGGGTCCATTACAGAAAAACTGGGACTGGGGATTTAGCTCAGCAATGCCGCTGCCTGCCTCACAAGTGCAAGGGCCCGAGCAGACCAGGCACACTAATTCTCACTAAAATATTTTTGTGTGAATATACTTATCACCAAGACCTCAGGTCATATTTATGCCAACAGAATATTTTGTTTAAACACTATAAAATGGATTGTAATTAATATTTTATGAGTGGTAATACAGTACATTTTTAGCTGTTACACACAGCAGATAAATCAGTTGGCCTACATTTCTGTGTTAGGCATGAGGTCTAAGTTAGGGTGGTAATGTCTTCTTGCATTATTATGTGGGCTAGTGCAAAACTTTATCATGCTGCATTTGAAATTTTATGCACTGCTTGTTAAAATCATTTGGGAAAATTTCAGAAACGTGTTGGGACTTTCTGTGACCAGGCATCTGTTATTATCAGACTAGTTTTCATGTTCCCGGTGTGTAGGGTTTGTAAGCTTGGATATCATAGGAAACAAGATACTCTGTGATGTTCATTACGAGGAAAACCAATTTGGAGAGTCCAGCATTGAGCAGAAGTGTCTGTAGTAGGAAATTAGACCCTGCCAAGGGTCTTCCTTACCAAGTAAGTGTCAGTTGAGTAGGAACTTTTATAGAATCATAAGATGATTACAAGCTAATATTTTATCCTGGGGTTTTTTGTTTGGTTGGTTTTGGTTTTGGTTTTTTGAGACAAGGTCTCACTATGCAATTCAGGCTGGCCTTGAACTTGCTATGTAGCCCAGGCTGGTTTTGAACTGACGGTGATCTTCCTGTCTCAGCCTACTGAGTGCTAGGATTGCAGCCACGCACCACCACACCCGGCTCTTCCCAGGGATTTTGAACAAAGAATGTTTCAAATTCTGAAGTAAACTTCTATTTATACACGTTAGTCCTCCATTCTTCCACAGAGTTAGTTTAGTGGCCCGAGGAGTTAAAAGAGCTCTGCAGCGACTCATAGTCCTTACTCTTCATAAGGATAATGTGAACAAAATCTGAGTATGTCAACGCTCAAGAATTCACGTTTAAAAATAAGATATTATGAATAGGGAAGGCTAAATATTATGCGTTAGGAACTTAGCTCTGAGAACACAATGAAATTTGGAGTACAATAAGCAAGCCGTTACTTTATCAGTGGTGTAGACGTAACAGCGCCTGAGTTGATAACTTGTTCTCCATTGCCCCTTTATTAAATTGCCTGTGACTAGTAATTTTAAGTCAACTACTTTCTGAAAGTGTTTGGCATGATTATGCTGCCAAAAACATATGTTTTTAACTATTTTGACATCATTAATTTCTGATCACTTTGTATAGGGCTTGATATTTACAAATCAGAATCAACCTATAATTATTGTGTGCATTGTAACTTTGAACACTTGTGAAAAACTCATTGTGCTTTGATGAGTTGTGTAAGCTTGCATATCTGAATTCTAACCTTAGTTTGGGAAGTTTAACAGTAGCCACTTTTGTAACATTAGTACTACTTGTAATGTAATTTTGATTTTTAGTATTTACATAGGAAAGTTACTAGTAAGAGAGTTTAGAGTCAAAGCATAGAGCTACTAACTGTTCAAAAGCCTAAAAGGCAGGCCATTTATATTTCATGTTGCACTTGTTCTGTTTCATACTGGACTTTTTCATCCTTTTTTAGGAAAAAAAATGACAGATTTGAATTCTGCAGTGGAAACTATATGACTATATTCATATGGTTAGCAAAACAAACTTTACCACCAAAGCTAAAAGAAACTGTAAAATACCTCCGGATATTTGTGCCAATGAACTTTTCTTAGTATAATGAGATTAAAGCAAAAAGAATCTTTTCAGTATTTTTCGTCTATGACTTATAATAAATGTGTATATCATGAAAAATTATATTCCACACTCTTAATTTTTCTTTGAAAATATTCAGAGTTCTAGCATAATTTGCTCTGTTTTGCTGATTTCTCAAATATTTTCTGATTTTATTGGGTAAAAGTCCATTCACTTACCAGTGATCTTTTCAGCAGTTTCGTGAAGAACTCGTTTGAAATGCTGTTCAGGCTCGCGGTGTGACGTGAAGCGCTGCGTGCGGTGCGGTCCCCCCGCCCCGTACCGGCTGTCACTGGGGTGGTGGGAGTTTCCGGTAGAAGCCCGTGGCCGTTCAGCCCCTCGGAGTCCTTAGGCGTTGCCCAGGGGAGATTACCGCTGGAAGCTTCTAAAGATTCCTATGCTGTATCAAAATGTTACAAAACAAGCAAGAATTAACACTAACGAGTTAATACTGATACTGCGTCCTGCTACGGAGAAGAAAGTGAGAAAGGTGATGGGCTCTCAAGCTGCTGTTCCTTTGCTTGAAAGCCTTTCATTTCTCCCCACAGAAAGTTTACAGAACTTCAGTCCGTGTCGCAGTTTGCCCGTCGCTCCGTGTTCCCTCCCTGTGCTACCAGCCGCTGCGGCGATGTTGGCACCGTTCGTGCAAGTAGCCCTGAAAGAGAAAAGGTAGCACAGAGAGCCAGATACTGAACTATTTGGCCTTAAGTTGCAGTTGGGTCATCTAATGTGGACTGTGACAATATTAGTGAGAAGGTGGATAAGTGTGAATTCAGCGTATACTGTCATTTGGAGTGAATTTGTCCTCTGTATTGGATAATTATACCCTGGGTAGGAGATGCCTGTATTTAGCATAATCATACTTTCCACATAGTCAAATACGCATTTGTTGGGATACTAGGAGAGTGAACTGTCCTCTCCTGTGTTGTGGGAAGAGAGGGAAGCTCTAATTTTTAGTGCATATAAATTAGGAAATGATAGTGTGCATTTACATTTTTAAGTGGAAAAATGACTTAAACGTATTATTTTGAAATGACTGCATTGCAGTTTCTTAATCTTACGACATGTAGCAATGCACCCATGGGAAACCAGACCAAAATCAAATATATATTATCACTGTGACCTGGAGTTTGCAGTCATTTGGAATAAAGCAGACTGTGCCTTAAAATGATAAGGGAATTCCCTGCAGTTTTATAAGCGTGTTCCATTATGGACGGCCTTCACGTATGGGTCCCAAGTCCCTTTCTTTGAGGTTGTTGAGATAGAAGCTTCAAAGCTGACCAGTACTCAGTACTTGGTGCTTAGTATTTGTGGACTGCCATCCTTGCGGCCTCCCTTAACTCTCAGTGTCCTGTTTCGAGTTAAAAATGACTTGGGCTACACAGGTGGAGAAAATTATTTGGGGGGAAGGTCATGGAACTTCCGGTCTAAACTCACCCTGCAGAGATTCATCTTCACAGTGTGGCATTTTTGTCTTATTAATGAACAAACATGAATTCTTTACTAAGACCTACACTGATTTTTTCCTCAGATTTTGAGGTTTATCAAATAAGCTTAATTTACCCGATAGTGATTTTTGAAGTTAAACTCAGATTTTTTTAAAAAATTAATATTCTCCTTTTTTCTTTTTCTTTCCTAATTATTAAAGTATCAAGACAGAATGACTCTTTTTTTAAAATGTAGACTGGCATTTTTACTGTGCTTATTTAAAATAAATAGATACAATTCTATTAAAATCCAAATTAGCCTGGGGTGGTGGCACACACCTGTAGTCCCAGCATTTGGGAGGCTGAGGCAGGAGGATTGCCGCAAATTCGAGGCCAGCCTGGGCTGCATAGCGAGACCCTGTCTCAAAAAAAAAAAAAAAATCCAAATTATTCCATTTGAAGGATAGTTGTGATCTCTGCGAAAGCTGTCACCTTTCAGTGTTTTGGGAGTTTGCTACTTTTAAATTTCAGTTCTGAACATAAAGTCTCAACACATTTCTTTCCTTCTGTTTTATTTCACTACTTCCCACATCCTGGGGCAAAAATGTAAATAAAATAACTTTCTTTAAAAATATGTAGAAAGACAATGTGTCTTTTCTTAAAACCTGTTAATATTCACAAGAAAGTACTCTGGACAACAGTGTGTGATAAAGTGACTGGCTTTCAACCTGCATCCCTTTCTGTGGTATAGTTTAATATAATATAGCTTACAAAGTACAAACTTAACAGTGATAAAAATTCAGTTGGTGTTATTTATTTATTGCAAATTGATTTCGTTCTCATCCAGAAAGTACAGCGCGTAGTAACAGTACCTGATAGTGCAAAGGACTTGTCCTGTACTGTGTACTGAAGAGTGATGGTCACTGCACAGACCCTTCTGTTTAAACAGGCATGATCTTCTCCTGTACTTTGTACATGTGTGGTGCATTACACATACACTGACATGGAATTCTCTGTGTATTTTCGGTATTGTGTGTTAACGGTGTTGCATTCAGCTAGTTGTAATTCAGAAAAAGTGCCACTTACTGTACTCTGTTGTGAATGATTTTACCTGTGTTCCAGCATTGTGGTGTACGTTTAATAGGTGAATATTTACCTTTGGTCTCCACTCAGGTATTAATGTGTAGCGATTTTTGGTGCTTTCTTTTTATTCTGTCATAATCCGGTGTTCTGAATGTTCAAAAATAAATATTGTGGATAAGCATTTTTGGTACAAAGATTGCTTACTGGTTCATGCACTTCTTCATAATACTCTCTCAGGAAAAAAGAACTAAAAAGTTATTTCTTTCCAACATGTCGAGCATTTTGGAAACGAGACTGGCTGGCCGTTCAGCACAGTACACAGCACATTTCCGGTGATACTGAGAGCAGGGTAAAATCAGACACTTTCCCAGCTTTGGATTTTGTGGCTTCCCACATCCGTTTGTATGGACACTTCATAGTACTCATTCTGTTTTCAGGAACTGTAGACTTTTTCCCAAAGATCAGGTTTTCTGTTTCCTGTAGGCTAGCGTGGTGTACCCGTGGATGCCCAGTTTGCTGCCTAGTAAGAATGAAAATGATTTGGGCATTGTTTGGGAGATTTCCAGTTCACTCCAGAGCTACTCAATTTGACCCTTACTGAAAAGGTTAGGACCGGCTTAGCAAGTCCCCGTCTGAATTCTCAGACATTGTCTCAGCTAATAAATAAAATGAGCGAGGGCTCCTAGAACCCACTGGCAAGATTGTCTTTAGGGTTATAAATTGCCTACAGAAATTCTAAATAAGTGTTTAGCTAGATTCAAACTTTTATATAATGGATGGAAAGAATACAATGAGATATACTGCACATTTAGCTCAGTGGTGCCGCTGCCTGCCTCACAGGCACAAGGACCCAAGTTCGATCCCTGGTACCAAAAAACAAAAAAAGGTATATTTTGAAGGATGAGTACCTTTCATTTTAACATCCCTAACTCTATAAGTATTACCCGTCTGTGCTTATACATGTAATTACATATACCCAAAAAGTAAAGTTTTATGGATGAGAAATCGAAGTGTACATGTCTTCCTTGGATACTTACAGGTATCCAACCCAGTTTCAAAATTCCTGAGTACACAGCATGTCAACCTGGGTGCCCGTCCCACTAGTTTTTGTCTCCTTTTTCATTTCCTGCTTCATTTCACCCCTTCCATCTAAAAAGTTCCCCAGAAGTCTCATGCGCCTGCGCAGAGGTGGGGTTTCAAGAGGATTGCTCCGCGGGCTGCCGTACTAACCCAGTCGGTGGACTCACCCTTCCCAGCCCCGTGCTGTGGATGGCCGCTGGGGGTGACCTGCGCGGTCTCTCCACTTCTCTTCCCCACGGCTACCCCAGTTCACCCTCCACCTCTGACGCTTCTGCCCTGCAGCCAGCCAAGCTTGGACTGAGTCCCCCAGACTGAGCCAGTTAGATCGGCTGTCCTGACTCTGCCCTTAGACTCGTGTCTGTTGTGTCTTTGATTAGCTCAGCGTCAACCTTAACTGTACCTAAGTTCTTCCATCCAGTATCTCCATCATACTCACAGGTCCGCAGTCCAGGAGAAGGGCTTGATGGCACGAGGCATGTACACTAGAGGGTGAAAACCTGGGGGGCCTGTTTCGAGTCTGCATACCACACACGGAACTGAAGTGTTTTGCGTAACTGTTACACTTAATGTTCTGTAGTTTCATTTCAAAGAGCTGATGAATTAAATATAAAATTCTTCAATGAAAGAAAAGCCGTTCAATGCAATGACTTTCAAAAAGGAAAGGGCTGGGGTTGACACTCACTGGTAGATCACTTCTTAGCATGCACAGGCCCTGGATTCAATATCTGGCCCCTCAAAAAACGGAAAAATAAGAAACGACTCCGCACACTTGGGTTGTTAGGCTTGTGTGTGAGAGTCTTGGTTTAGAGATGGATCCGTTCTGTCTTGTGTGCTTTGAATAGTCAGAATTTGGATATAGCCTGAATTTAAGTGAGCTAAAGCTACTAAGTGAGCGAAAGCATTTTACTGTCCTTAATATAATTTTGTGTTGGGTATGAGGAGTAGTGACAAACTCGAGCGAAATGACATAACAGCAAACTGAACTTTTAAAAAATGCTTCTAGGGCCGGGGATTTAGCTCAGCGGTTCGGTGGCCTGCCTTGCAAGCGCAAGGACCCGAGTTCAATCCCTGGTACCAAAAAACAAAAAACAAACAAAAAAATGCTTCTATCTTGAGTATGTATATAAAAATAATTGTTTTACAGCCAGGAGTGGTGGTACACACCTGTAATCCCAGCACTCAGAGGCTGAGGAAGGAGGATCGCTGTGAGTTCTAGGCTAGCCTGGGCTGTACAGTGAGTTCAAGGCCAGCCTGAACTGCATAAGGAGACTCTGTCTCAACCCCCACCCCCCAAAACAGAACTATGTTGGGTAGGCTTGCTAGATATGCTTGTAGCTCAGTATACTGTGGAGGTGAGAGCTCTGGGTTTTGCAGTTAGGTGCTCATTTGAGTGTTTATATGTGTAAATCTTGTTATCCTTCAGGATGGGAATGCTGTGAGATGCGGTCATATTAATGCTTGATCAGCGAAAAAGACACAATCATCATCCTTTGTGTCATGATCAAAAAAGAATCACAGAAGCTGGGGATTTAGCTCAGTGGTGCCACCGCCTCTCTCTCATGCACAAGGGCCTGAGCTCAATCCCTGGTACCAAAAAAACAAAACAAAACAAAACAAAAAAACAGCTAACATGATCTAGGGATTAGAGTGTAAGGATGGATAGAAACACGCCTCTTCACTACACCCACAAAGGTTTAGTGACAAAGTACTTAAGGAAGAAATAATGACTCGGTCTCTTTCTTCCCAACTTGCAGGAAATACCATTCTGTATAGAGAAAACTTTGTCCTTAAGAAGATGGCAGAGGAGAAAGGGAGAAGCTAGTTTTTCTACACAAGATTTTGACGCACTAGACAAAATGTTAAAGGAATTTAAGAAAGTCACTAACCTTTGTTTTATTGTTCTTATTCTTAATGTTCTCTTCTGTACCTCATTAATTTCAGCTCTGATAGTTATTATTTCTTTCCTTCTGTTGTGTTTGGTTTGTTCTTGTTTCTCTAAGACCTTGAGATGTGTGACTAGGGTTATTTATTTGGGATCTGACTTTTTGGATGCAGGCATGTATAGCTATAAACTCCCTTTTCAGAATTACCTTTTCTGTATCCCAGAGATTCTGGTATGTAATATTTCCATTTTCATTTGATCCTAGGAATTTTCAAATTTCCTCCTTATTTCTCCAGTGACCAGCCAATCTTTCACAAGAGAATTATTCAATCTCCACGTGTTTGTATAGTTTCTGTGATTTTTCTTGCTGTTGGTTTTTAGTTTTATTCCATTGCAATCTGATAGGATACAAAATATTATTTAAATTTTTTTATATAAGGTTTGCTCTGTGGTAGTGATGGTGAACATATGGCATATGTGTTACTGTGTTTTTCTTTTAAGGCAAAAGACATTAATGTAGAGTTGTTTTCTCTAAACTGAAACCTCAGTCCGGGTTTAATTGCAGTGTTGGCCCTTTGTGATAATTGGATTTTGGGTTGCAGTTTGGATTCTCATCTCTAAAAAGTTTGCCATCACTGCTCTGTGACCAGAAAATGCTCTCTTTTGGAGTATAGTCTATGAGCTGCTGAGAAGAATGTATATTCTGTAGTTGTTGGATAGAATGTCCTACAGACATCTGTTAAGACCGTTGCTGTCTAGTGCAGTTTAACGCTGGTCTTTCTTTGTGGATCTGGGGAGGTCTGGACAGCCAATCCATTGAGGAGAGTGGAGCATCAGAGGCACCCGTAGTACTGAGCAGTGTTCGTGTTGAGTAACGTTTGTTTTATAGAATTGGGCACACCAATGTGAGGTGCACATGTATTTACAGTTGTTATGTCTTCTCGGCAGATCGTTCCCTTCACCAGTATGTGTCGGCCTTCTTTGTCTCTTCCTACTTTTGTCTTGAAGTCTGCTTTGTCAGACATGAGTGTGGCTGTTCCTGCGTACTCACTGTTTCCATCCTTTCTCTCTTAGTCCATGTGTGTCTTTGCTAGGGAGATGCTTCTTGCAAATGAGGAGGAGCTGAGTTTTGTTTTTAACCTAATCTGCCAGTCTGTGTCTTTTAATTGGGTGATTAAGGCCATGTGCATTCAGAATTGCAGAAAGGTGTACATGAATTTCTGTCATTTGGTTGATTTTTCAATGTTGAACTCTTCCCTAATTCTCAATAGCTCATCTAGGCTTCCTTTTCTTTCTTTTTTTTTCTTCCTTTTCTATATATAATATTTATTTAAGCATCTTCTGCAATGCTGGCTTAATGGTTATAAATTTTAGTTTATGCTTTTTTTTTTTTGGTACTGGGGATCAGCCTTGGGACCTTGCACTTGCAAGGCAGGCAGCGGTACCACTGAGCCACATCCTCGGCCCTGGTTTATGCTTTTCTTGGAAGGTATTTAGTCCTCCTTCAATTGTGAAGGATAGCTTTGCTGGGTATAGTAATCTAGCTTGGCAGTTATTTTCCTTCAGGACTGGAATTACATAATCCCATGCCCTCTTGGACTGTAGGGTGGGTTTTTTTTGTTTGTTTGTTTTGGTTTTGGTTTTGGTTTTTGGTTTTTGGTTTTTTGTTTGTTTGTTTTTTGAGACAGGGTCTCACTATGTAGTTGAGACTGACCTGGAACTCACTATATAGCCCAGGCTGGTCTCAAACTCACAGCAATCCTTCTGCCTCAGCCTCCCAAGTGCTGGGATTACAGGTGTGCGCTGCCACACCCGGCCTTGGACTGTAGGTTTCTGCAAAGTCTGAAGTTATGCAGATGGTTTTACCTCTGGAGGTGACTTGGCATTTCTCCCTGATGGCTTTCAATATTTTTGTTTTGTACTCTTGTCATTTTAACTATAGTTTGACATGGAGTATTCTTTTCCACTTGTGCCTTGGAGTTCTAAATGTCTCCTGTATCTTTCCCAAGTTTTCGGAAATTTTCTGTCATTTTATTAAGTAGATCTTCTATGCCATTAGTCTATACCTCAGTGCCCTCTGGGACATCCAACATTTGTAAGTCTGGTCTTTTAACCACGTCCCATAGTTCTTGGATGTTTTGTTGGTAACTTCTTCTTTTTCCTTTATTGGTGTCTGCATGTACTAATTCCTCAGCCCTATCTTCAAGCCCATAGAGTCTGTCTTCTGCTCGGTTCTGTTAATTGGTGAGGCTGCCCCTCAGGTTTTGATCTGCCCTGTTGTGCTCTCTGTTTGGTTCTCTAAACTCTCTCCTTGCTGGATTGCTCTTTCTCATCCTGCACGGTCTTTCTTCATTCGCTCAGCTGTTTATTTGTATCTTCGCTGCAGTCATTTTATTTTTATTATTTATTTATTTACTTCTGTTTATTTTTTGAGATTGGGTCTAACTATGTAGCCTCAGCCTCGTAAGTGCTGGAATTGTAGGTATGCACCACCTCGCCTGGCTCATCAATCATTTTATAAATGGGTCTTCTGAGTTCTTTGTCCAGCATTTCATCCACTTCAGGATGCAGTATTCAGCAGCTGACAAAACACAGACATTTGAAGGAATCATGTTGCCTTTTTTCATGCTCCTTGGGTTTCCATGTCAAGATTTTTGCATTTGTTGGATATACGTGGCCTATACTTTTACGAAGAGTCATTTTAGTGTCCAGCACTAAAGCATGATCCCAGCACCACTCTGAGAGGTGAAAAACAACCACAGTGGTGTTGATGACACAAAGACAAAACAAATACTGACATACAGTAAAAAGCAATAAACGAAGTAACTTCCACCCTTAACAGAAATCAGCAGTAATAGTGCAGACCCCAAGACAAGCCGTATCATAGCATACAGGAAAGACCTAAAACCATTAACAAAGCAGAGAGAGCAGCACTAATACCCTAACCTAAAGGCTAAAAGTTAATAAAAGTAATGGTAAGACTGACAAAAAATTGAGAGGCTGAGGAAAGGAAAAAATGGAAGATGTAAAATTTTAGAAAAAGGAAGTCGGGAAGGATAAAGACACAAAAGTGAGGTTTAAAACTCCAACTGAAGAATTTTCAAAATCAATAAAATTAAATTAATGGGGGGGGAACGAAAAGAAAGCAAAGAGCCAAACAAAACAAAAATCAGACCAAGAACAAGACAAAGGGGTCGGGGTCCTAAACCTTCACGTGTGTGGTTTCTTTTCAGACCCCGCAGTGCTGTATGGAGTCCACCGGGGGCGCTAGCGAGTCACGAGCCACGACTGTGACCTGCGTGGTTTTTGCGCCACTGCTGCAGTGTGAGTGCGGACAGGTGATGCGAAGCCATCAGATCTGACTGTGACTTCAATCCCAGTTGAACTTGACCGTGGCTCTATGCTCGTATTGCTGGTATGTTCAGCCGTGGTGTCTTACAAGTTATTTGCAAGCTGCTTATTCAATTTGGTTTTGTTCATTTGTTTAGAGAGGCTTTTTTGTTTTTTTGACACAGAATCTCACGCTGTAGTTTAAGCTGGCCTGCACTCACTATGTAGCCCAGGCTGGGCTCAAACTCATAGCGATCCTCCCCACTCAGCCTCCTGACTGCTGGGATTACAGGCATGCGCCACCACGCACCCGGCTACTTATTCAGTTTGTAATCGTTATTCAATTTGTGTTCAGTTAAAAAATAATATAGTAAATATGTGATAATATAATCCGTGAATCTTTTCAGTGTCTCACATATATCATATAATCCATGCATCCTCGACGTGGATCACGTGCTCTAATGTTACAAGACACTGACGGTAAAGGAGCAGATGGACAGAGCACAGGGAGCCCCATCTTCCCTCAGTCCACCCCTCACGCTGAGTGCAGACATTTGAGACAGGGACGGGTATACGAGGGCACAATTCTGCCCTTACATAGAACAATCCATACCTTGGTAGATTAAAATATGAAAATGAGTTGTTTCCCACCCATGTCCCAATATGTTGCCATGTGCACACGCCACTTAGAATGTACGCACCCTTACTTGGGGAAACTTCGTTCTGGATATATTCTGTAACTCTTTGAGATTCTTTTTCCTGGTTTTATTAAGTTATAAATTTAAAATAATTTTAAGGTGATAACATGTTTTGATGCATTTATAAATGCACATTGTGCATTTAGCACTACCATCAGTCTAACATCCATCACCTCTCCTAATCGTGTGTGTGTGTGTGTGTGTGTGTGTGTGTGTGTAAGGATCCGCCCTCCTAGCAAGCTGCCAGCGTAGGATGCGGTATTATTGCTGTAGTCGCTCCTGCTGTGCAGTAAATCTCCAGAATTTACTCTTCCCCATAACTAAGACTTTATTCCCTTCCACCAAAACTGCCTCGTGTCCTTACCACCTGAGCCCTGGAAACCAGCCCTGTGCCTCGAAGGAGTCTGTCTTTTTTACATTCCACATTGGAGGAAGCCTGTGTTGTCTGTCCTTTCTGTGTACCATCACCTTATCTCCCTTAATATAAGGTCCTTGAGGTCATCTGTGTCATAAATGACACTGTGTCCCTTTTTTAGGGCTATACTATTCCATTATTTGTATGGGTGTGTATGTGCACACACACCTCACATTTTCTTTAATCGTTCACCCGCCAGTGGGCACTTAAGTTTTAAGGGGAGACCAAGGCACGATTGAGACCATGGAGGCAAGGTCTAAGCAACAGGCCGTGAGTTTATTGCCCTCTGGGTGCAGCTGGGCCAAGGGTGAGAAGGCCGTGGACACTGAAAGGAGGGTGTGCACAGCTGTTATAGGGACGTTTAGGTAGGGGAGGGGGCACTGCTCAAGAGTGTGGGGAATTTTAGAGTCCCAGGGGTGATGGGCCTAGGGCTGGCTGATAAACAGGGCGGTGGTGAGAGCAGCAGGGCCGCTGCTGGCTGCTTCTTGTCTCTGTGCTCCTGTGGGTAGCGGCTCTGCTTGGATGGGGTACAACCTGGGGGACCTGTCACGTTGATTCCATACTGTCTTAGTCACTTTTCTCATCACTGGAGCAAAATGTCAGACACCCACAATTTAAAGGAGGAAAAGGGTGTTTTGCTTTGTTTTATTTTTTGGATTTTGAGACAGGGTCTTACTATGTAGTTCAGGCTGGCCTTGAACTGTGTAGCCCAAGCTGGTTTTAAACCACAGCAATCCTACTGCTTCAGCCTCCCGAGTGCTGGTATTACAGGCATGCACCACCACACCCAACTTTGAGAAAGGTTTATTTTGACTCAGTGTTTGTAGAGATTTCAGTCCATATTCCACTGCCCCAAAGCAGGGCAGCATGACATAGGGGCATAGCAGGGGAGAGCTGGTCACGGCTTAGCCTAGGCAGAGAGAGCAAAGGAAGGAGTAGGGCAGAGACGCATCCTTCCAGCCCAGGCCCCACTCAGCTCTAAGCCTCCCAACCCTATGAGCCATGAGGCCCTTGGGGCCATGGAGGTACACACCATGACTCATGCCCTACTGTCATGAGTCGTGTGGCAGTGAGCATGCGGCAGCACACAGTGCTTAGAGATACTGACTTGCCCTTCTTTGGACATCGCCCAGAGGTGGGGTTGCTGATGGATCGGAGTCCATTTTTAATACTTAGCGGAACTCCCATGCTGTTTTCCATAATAAGTACCCTGATTTACATTGCACCCAACACCGAGTGTTTCCCTTTCCCCTGCATCCTCACCAAAGTTTGTTTTCTCTTTTATTTGAAACATCTCTTTGATAAAAATCTTTCTAGCAGATGTGAGGTGATTGCTCATAGTTTTGATGTGCGTTTCTGTGATGACTAATGGACGTTTTTTTCATATGCCTGTTGGCCATTTATCCTCCCTGGAGAAATATCTATTCAAACGCTTTCCCCGTTTTAAGGAACCTGGTTGTTTTCTTACTGTTGAGTTGCTTGAAGTCCTGACATGTTTTAGACATTAAGCCCTTACTGGATGTGCGCTTTGTAAATATTTTGTCCTGTTCTTCGGGTTGCCTTTTTACTCATTTCCTTTGCTGTGCAAAAGCAAGACTTTTTTGATAGGTTTTCAATATCTGTTTTTATATATTATCTTGAAAGCAAACTTGAGGTTTCTAGGTCAGGAATCATTATTTACATAAAACCAATATTCCTATCATTTCTCCTTGCTTTATTTCTCTCCCTTCAGGGTGATGTGAGCTGAGTCATACAAACCCTGAATGTGCCAGAAGAGTTTTGCTTTGTTTTGCACAACAGGAGAGGAACTCAAAATGGTGAACCTGCAGTTTGTGTCAGCGATGTGCTGCCCTCTTCTCCTCCTGGTACTTTCAAAAGTGGTCCCAACCTTTATGGCCCCAGGGACCGGTCTCGAGGAGGACAGTTTTTCTCCATGGGGTTGGGGGGCCGGAGGAGGCAGTGATGGACTCAGGCTAAGCCAGGAGCAGACTGCGGTTCCTCGCATGCGTGGTTCGCGGCTTTCGCTCCCAGAGAACCCCATGCCCGCTGGCCTGACAAGCGGCCTGGGCGGTGGTGAGGAGAGGAAGCCCCTTCACTACCCCCTCTGCTGCGCGGCTCCTGACGGCTGCCTGGGCCTGACAGTCATATATGAGCCATAAGAAGGGGAATTCTGTCGTTGCAGCAACTTGGATGGAACTGGAAGACAGGACGCTGCGTGGAGTAAACTGGGCCCGTGGGACGGATACCTCGGGTTCTCACCCCAGGTGGAGCCAAAAACAGCTGATCTGGTGAAAGCGAGAGCAGAAGGCTGGGGGCAGGGGCGAGGGCCCAAGACACAATGGCAAACGGGAATGTGTGGGGCTGGACAGGTGGAGCCCCGCGGTGGCCCGGGGCTCTGGGGGGCAGCTGCGGAGGACAGCACAGTCATCGTGTATTTGAGTCACTAGGAGAGAGGATTCTGAGTGTTTGCGACACAAATGATACATACGTGAAGTGATGGGAGTGCGGATTGCCCTGAACCGATCAGTACTCGTGGTACGTGCTGTTCTGTGGCCAGGCGTGGAGGTGCACACCTGTAATCCTAGCACACAGCAGGCTGAAGCAGGAGGGTCCCTGTGAGTTCCAGGCCAGTCTGAACTATACAGTGAGGCCCTGTCTCAAAAAACAACAACAAAAAAATTAAATACTGCACTCTACACAGGTAATGTTTTTAGCAGAAACCTAGAATGTTCTCCACTGACTTCTGGGTGCATATTAATGTTGGAGGATTAGGATGAAATCATCTTCGTTACTGAGATTTCTCATTGATTTCCAGGTCCAGACTTACAGAATTCACTTTTAAGATGGGAGCATAAAGGTTTGCTATTTATTCTCTTCATTTAAAGTAGCGCAGTACCATTTTATGTACCTAGAGCACTCCTAGAATGCTAAGAACTAATCATCTTTAGGGAGGGGTATTTTATTTTGTTGTTTGTTGCTGTTGTTATTGATTTTCCTCCCTTAAGATAAAAGCTCACTGGTTCTGTTTCAGGGCTCACAACTGATGAATAGTTCCAGAATCATTTGCCCAATTATGTCCCAAAATATCCAGAGAATTACTCATCTGAATTGACCTCATTTTTTCCTTCTCTGAGCACTTAGAAATACAGGGTTCTATTTTTTTTTTTAAGTACTAGGTTTTGTCCCGAATAGCTTTATTAATGGGTCAAAATATGTGGTCCATTAAAACATTATGTGACTCATGAGTCTAACCTAACACTGTGGCCTGGACCCTGCTCTCATCTCTTTTGTGTCAAAAAGACCTGTTAAAAATATAGGCTTACTCATGTGAAATCCAGGGTTCGTGACAGACATTTCAACCCAATTAAAGGACAGAAGGTCAGCCTTTCTCAAAAGAAAACAAAGAGTTTGGGTCCAGTTTCCGGTGCCGGGTGTTCAGGAGAATTTAAGGCACCGTGGCAAGCATGGTCTCCCCCTTCATGATTAGCCTGACATGTCCTATCCCTGCATTCTTTTCCTGGGCTTGCTGTAACAAATTACCAAGACCCAGGTGGCTTTACACAAAAGAAATGTATTCTCTTGCAGTTCTGGGGCCAGAGATCTGAAATTAGTATCACTGAGCCAAAAGCAAGGCATGGGCTGGGCCACACTCTCTCTGCTGGCCCCGGGAAAGAATTTACTCCTTTCCTCCTCCAGCTGCTGCTGGCCACCAGCAAGGCCTGGCTTGCGGCTGCACCACCCCCTTCCTCACAGCCAGCATCAGCAGCTCTCTGCTCCGGCTGGAGCACCGTCCCCTCTGTGTCTGCGGGGTCTGCCCCATCTCTCCTTGTGAGAATGAGACAGCACGTTGGTGGCAGGGAGGGGCACCCAGGTAATCCAGGGAAACCTCCCCATCTTGGGAGCCTTCACATCTACAGACCTTTTTTCCAAATAAAGCAACTTTTACAAGCATCTGAGTGTCTCTGGAGAGGAGCATTCAGTCCACCACCTCTCCACACCCAGAGCACTTCGGCCACTCAGTTCCTCAGAGAAACTGAAATTCAGGCCTGCATTTCCAGGCCCACTGCAGTCCTGGGTTGCCCCGGAACAGAGCATTCCCCGGAACTCTCGTTCAGATATTTCCTGTCCCTTACCGAAGCCGAGGTGTGCGCTAATCCAGGCCCAGACCCATAAGGAAGCACAATCAGGCAATGAGCTAGGAAATCAGTTGAAAATCTCCTGTAGTCTCCACTCCCTCCCCCACCTACCCACTGTGTATAGTGAGGAGAGTGTGCTCTAGGTACCAGTGCTTGTGAAAATTCACAACAGTAGGTGACAAAGCCACCTAGCACATGCCTGACCGATAGTGTGTACTCAATACATGCTATGCTTATTATCTTATATCAGACAGGCAAGCCATCCTTGAAGTTTGGCGATCATCGACAGACAGGCACCGAGATAATTATTTACAGGATACAAAAGAAAAGGTGAAGAGCCAGGGATGTAGCTCAGTGGTGCCGCTGCCTATCTCACAAGCACAAGTTCCTAAATTCAATCCCTGGTACGAAAAAAGAAAGAAGGAAAAGGAGAAGCCAGCAGTGGTGGCCCACACCTGTAATCCCAGCACTCAGGAGGCTGAGGTAGGAGGATTGGCAAGTTTCAAGGCCCGCAGGGAAGGGAAGGGGAGGAGACGGGAGGGGAGGGAGGAGAGAAAAGAGAGCTCATCCGGGGCGCTCTTCCCCGGGGCCAGGTGGGCTGCCACTTCCTAGGAGGGTGTAAGTGCTGCTTTGTGGTGGGGCTGCAACTTCATCTGCCTGGGAAAAGGAGGGAAGAAAAACACTGCTTTGTTTCTGCCAGGCAGGGACAGGAGGAACCCAGAGCGACTGATGATTCCAACCCCCCAGGGGCCCACACCTTGCCTGGGGGACGAGGACGCTGAGTAAGCGTTATTCCTTAGACTGGTCTTCCCTACCTGTGTTATCTCAGGACTTGCAGGAAGCAGCTGTGGCCCACCCCTCAAATCCGAGACACTTCGAGTAGAAAAGTGTATATAATCACGCAAGTATCGTCTGCGCTCCCCTCCACTGTACAGGAGCTAGATCAAAAACTACTCTACATTTTACTGGCCCAATGATTATTCAAGTCAGATCAATGGATATCTATTGGCCACCTACAATTATCTCTTCCCTTCCTAGTAAAATACATCAACTAAGTCTCCAGGTGAACTCCACAAAATAGCTATGTAACAAGGCTCAAACTTCAAAAAAAAGTATTAATCTAAACTGAAATTTTAAAGAATTATTGATTCCATAAGCATCTGTGATATGGCTACTGTTAGGACTTGTATCTAGATGCCCCCCCAACCTCATGCTCTCATCGGTGGAGATTTTCAGAGGTGGCAGGGCCTAGGGTGTGTGAATGTGTATCAAGAGTGTGTGGGAACTGGATCAGTTCAGAATAGTTCTGTGTGTCTGAACGGATTTACTGAAGACAGAAGCCCCAACCTGGCATGGGTGGCACCAACCAATAAGCTTGTAGCCTTCATGGGATAAAAGGGGAAATGGAGGCTCCCTGCCGAAGTTTGCTGCCTTCTGCCTACCCTGCCATGGACTGTTTCTCCTCAGGATGCCCTCTGCCATATAGCCCTGCCACAGAGCCGGCAGACTGTGTGACGCCTCCACACCCTATGAGCCAAAATAAACCTCTCCTCCTGTAACTTGTGGACATCAGTATTTTGTCCCAGCAATGAAAAAGTAATGAAGACGTATACCTTATGCCAATGACAAAACATAGTGCCTATTTCATGGACCTCACCCTGTAAACCGAGAGACACATGAAGGCAAATGTAGTCATCCTAATTGTCTTAGTTTAACGAAAGTACCAAGGACTGGGTGACTCATAAACAACACAAATGGATTTCTCATTGTCGTAAAGATTGGAAATCTGATATCAGAGCAGCCACATGGCCAAATTCTGGTGAAGACCCTCTTCTAGATTGCTGTTTTTTTACTGTATCTGGCAAAGTAGAAAAAAGATGAGAGAGTGATCTGGTGGTGTCTTCATAAGGACATGAACTTGATTCCTCCTAAGGGCTCAACCTCACACATCTTTGCACACACACACACACACACACACACACACACGCCTGTTAGTACCTTCACACTCGGGTAGGTTTACAGCATACGTATTCTGGGGAGGCCCATTCAGTATATGGCATTAATTTAACATGGTAAGAGCTGCTGAAGCTAAGTGATCTCCTCAGAAGAGCTGTTTGATGTGAGTCTTGAAGAACAGGGAGAAGTTATCCAGGCACACAAGGTTTGGAGAAGACACTGCAGGCCACAGCAGCAGCATATTCAAAGGCACCGATATGTACGTGCAGGAAGCTCCCTGTGGAGGCCAAGAGTCTATGCAGGGCCCAAATGTTGCCCAAGGCTGCAGACTTGACTTTATGGACATCAAGAAGTGGGTGGAGGGCAGGCGAGCTGACCTTGACAGTGTGACCTTTTCTCCTGTTGTCTCTCCTCTAAGGTCAGTTGCAGAACCAACAAGCAAAGCCACCACCTCGTGCTCTCCACTAAAGAAGTCTGCCCGTGAAAATCTGCATGCAAAGACCTAAGAAACTGTCTAGCTGTCTCTGTTTTAGAGAACTTTCTTTACTCCTTTTTCAATCTTGGAGATGTTGACGTGGCCTGAAATGATAGAGGATTGGGAAAGTTTTCCTCAAATCCAGTTAGAGGCAGTTTGGATGTAGGGCTTCGTGTTCTCAGCTAAGTGTTATGTCCCCGAGATCCGTGCGGGGGAACCCTCATTCCCCAGGCCGCAGGGCTGGGAGGCCTCAGGGTGGGGGTGCAGGGCATGGGGAGCCCTCATGAACAGGCCCATGCCTTTCTCAGGGCATGGGTTACTTTTAACTGCTTCGCTGAGGTACAGGAACGAAGGGATGACCCAAAGGTGAAAAGGAAGCAGGGCACACAGACTGGGCGGTTCTCAGCCTGCCATGTTGGAAGAGAACTCTCTGAGTGTGGCCAAGGGACTCTTGTTGAGAGAATCAGCACATGGGAACCCTGTGCTAGTCATCAGGGCAGCAGGACAAAGGGCCCAAAGGTATTTCAGGGTCTTCTGTGCTACTTGTCCTGTCCCAGGCAGAATGGTCTGAGGACTCACCAGGGACACCCTCCGAGCCTCGGCACCCAGGGCCACTGCGGGACTCTGCTCCCTGTGCTCCTCTAGTCCACCTGTGGCCAGGGCGCTCAGCCACAGCCCTCCTGAGGATGCAGGCAGTAAGACTTGCCGGTGTCCCTGTGTGCAGTATGGGCCTGGAAAAAGCAACAGTCTCAGAGGTACACTGGCTTCCACTTAGGTTTCAAAGTCCGACTGCCTGAGAGCCCAGGAAAAATCTTCCCCAAGGTCAGCCAACCTCAGAAACTGTCCAGCGGGACACCTAGTAGAACCTGGGAAGTGGGGCCACCTTGGGGACCCTAAAAACACAGCCCCAGAGGCACTGTGCGGCTTGACCCTGGAAAAGCGGTAGGCACCAGTGTGAAACTCTGACCCAGGAGCCCTTGCTGAGCCCAGTGAAGCCAGGAGGCTGTGTCTATGCAGGGGACCCAGCCCCACAAGCACCCTGTTCAAGCACAGGTACAGACTGGTGTTGAGGCCCAAGATGGAGTCGGGTTGGCTATCACACTACCTGGCTTCGAGCATCCTTATTATTAGGTCCAAATGCCTTCCCTGCTGCAGCCAGAGTAATCTCTTTGAAACGCCACTCTGAGAGAGCCACTTGGATGCTTAAAACCCTTCATCCACTCGGCCCTCCTTGCAGCGGGAAGGGTCCGACTGCCTCTCCTGTGGCTCACATCGGCCCCCCTTTCCCTCCCCTCTTGTCAGACCGATTTACTTTGAGTTTCTTCAATGCACTGTGTTCCTTTCCAGCCCCCGTGCAGTGCAGCTGCTCACCTGTCTGAAATTCTTCTCCCTGGGTCTCCCGGAGCCCCCGTGGTTACTGTGACAGCCTGGAGCGCAGTCCTTGCACAGAAAGAAACCTGACTCTGACTCCCATCTCCCTGTTTATACTCTGTCTTCATTTAAATCCCCTCGTACAGCACAGGGATTTGACTCATGTTTGTCTTGCTTGCTGTCTCATCAGTAGGTGCGGGGCTGCATTTATCCTGCCACTTCACCTGGAAAGCTCGGTGGGATTCCTGGTACGTGCGGCCCTTGATGAAAGTTTGTTGACTGAATGAGCAAATGATGGCCCAGGGTCAAGATTATCTGAGGCTGATCAATCCTCTGATCTGCCCAGAAAGGGGGGCTGTGAGGCCTAAAGAAAGACAACAGGGATGCAATGTTGAATTGAGCTGGCCATTATTTATTGGGTGCACACAATATTCAGAGGGAGTATGGGGGCTCAAGGGCAGCGCAATCTTTTGTTGAGGAGGATCTTAGGTCTGTGGGTAAAGCATTCTTGCAGTAGTAGGTGGGAGGAGATAACAGGCTGATAAGGAGTTTGTCCTTCCCCCAGGCAAAGCCTTTCTCTTTGATTTTTTTATATCACTACTTGTTTGTCAAGGAACCAGGATATCTTCAGCTGATGTAATCTTGCGCTGTAGCATCACAGCATCATGGGACTATGGAGGCCTCAACTTGTGACCCCCATGCCATAGTGGCTCACAGGCAAGGTGACATTGGGCCTCAGACAGTCCTGACCAAAATTTAATTATGAAATGATTTTTTCCCCAAAAATTATATAGCATGGCTCAACAAAGATGAAACCACAGCCAGGTATTCTAAATCCAGTCTAGATCACCAGGTTTCTCAGCAAACAGCTTGTCCAGGACTGTGTTCCAAGTCATTGCCACTAAAGCGACTTTATATTCATTGAGCCTAAACCTCAACCCAACTGTTTTCTGCAGATGGCATTTATTTAGCACAGGGAGGCTGTGGGTATAGTAATTTTTCCCTTTTCCATGAAGACCATGCGACCTTATGGTTCTAATTTGAAGGGTATTATGGTAAGCCATGCTGCTTTTCCAAACTTATAAAGTTCCTGAGATTCTAGGAAGAAATACAGGGTGTAGACAAAAAGAACAATTTTTGTTCTTACAGTAGGATTTCCTGTTCTAAAAATGCTATTATTTTGAAAATTAATATCCCCAAGAGAACATTCTATTAGATAGGATCATCATCATCATGTTTTCAACTGCTGTGGATATAACTTCTCCTAAACATGAAAAAAAGGAGAAAGCTACTTTGCCATGAGGAAGTGCCTTATGTTTTTAAAAAACCCACATAAGATGCTCAGTGGCCCATGGAGAGGCCGCTGCATTTTTGAGGTAAATAGGTTACCTCTGAGGAAGCTTGAAGATCTCAACTCTTAAAGATCTTTGTGCCAAGGATGAAAATGGAACCATTATTCTTCAATTCCCTCTGCCTACGTCAGTGTCTCCAACCTGCAGCCAACCCAGTTGGTATAAGTAGCCAGGAGTCATTCAGCAGAGGTCAGCAAGGCGACCTACAAGGGCTGAAGTCACACTCCGGTAAGCTCTGTTGCCCTTTGTGCCCATTCTGTCCCGGGGGGAAGACATTCTGTGTGTGCCAGGGCATATCTCAGCTTAGAGCATCTGAGGTCATTGTTTCCTTTTTCTTTCTTTTCTTTTTCATTCTTCTTTTTTTTTCCATTTTATTGAATTTATTGGTACAATCTAGGTATACAATACAGTTACATTCATTATTGGGATCCTGTACCCTTACATAATAGGTCTTGATTCTCATTTTTTCCCCTTGTCCCTGCCCTCCCTTTAACCCCTCCTCCCCTCCCCATTTACGAACACTTTATTTCCATTTTTTCAATTTCTGACATTTTTCCCCTCCCTTATTACCTTTCCCCCACCCTTCCCACTTTCCCTACACCTTTAGCCCTTCACTTCCTATTTCACATTACTAATTATCTCATTAGGATCTTGTGTACTATTGTAGTTTTTCACACCAGAGAAACTATTCGGTATTTCAGTTAAAGAAATCTCTGTATGAACATTAAAAATAGGGAATCCTAAAATAAAACTAAAAAGGAAAGTAAAAGAGAAAAGGTAATGATGTAAGATTAAAATAATCCTTAATTCTGAAGATGAAAATGGTCCCTTAACATATTTAAATTGCTTCTTGCTCTTGTAGTCTTATTCTTTTTCTTCATTATTTAGAGAATACTTTATTAGTTTCTGTAATCAAACCCACATAGATATGACCTTACATATTTAATACAGTGTGTTACCCCTGTACAAATGGAAAAAATAAAAATAAAAAATAAAAATAATTAACATTTCTAGACCAATATGGCTGTCCATTTCTGTACAATGCCAACTCAACACAGTAAATTGGGATAACTTTTTCCAAAGTTGACAGCACCATTAAAGTTTCCCAAAATTCAAATTATATATATATATTTTTTATAT